GCGGGACCAGGTCAACAACATCAAGGGATTGCTACAAAAACTTCCCTTTTTTGAGAATTTCAGTTTCGACTTGGTACATAGACTACGTATATATATATATATATCTAAGGAAATATTCAGATTAATGGAGGCATCCAAGTTAAATCAAAAGCTATACACATTCTAAGCAATGGAGCATGGTGAAGCTTAGTTTACAGGGTTTTCCCCAGAATTATGGGATATCAGGCCACCATCTACTTATAGTATAGGTATAGGTTTAAAAGGGACGAGAAGAGCTGTACAAGTTTGAAATTTGTTAGTATTTTGTCGGCTTTATTTGAATTTTTTTTATAGAAAATCTTATGGATACTATAGTAATTCGCATTCACTATGGGGCAAATTTGTGGAAGACACATCTGGTGAATGTCTCACATTTATAGGGAAATGTGAAGCGGAGTATGTAGGTATCGATAAAGATCAATTTTCTTTAAATGGAATTGTTTTTTTTATATTAGAGATCTAGATATGTTAATGTGGGCGAGTTTCATTTTAAAGACCCTACGACCAATAACTTTGTTTTAGTGGACTTCATCATGTAATGTGTATTGTAAATGTTGTAATTAAATGGAAGATGTTATCTTATTTCAATAGGTAAACAGTGAATAAATACAATACATAAGGTGCAAATCAAGGAAAGAAATATAAAGTGATCCCTATAGATCTGTAGTGATCCCTATTAAAATCTGCTGCCTATATATAACTATATGTATATTACTAAGATTAAGTCTATATTCATTCTATAACACTTCCCATCAAACTGGAACATATATGTCTATCATGTCCAACTTGTTACAAAGATAATCAACTCGAGTTTCATTCATGCCTTTGTGAGCAAATCAGCTACTTGCATCTTCACGTAGCCGGTGGAAATCAAGTTTTCCTGTATCTTTTCGTGAATAAAATGCTAGTCAATCTCAATATATTTAGTTCTTTCATGATACACCAGATTTGAGGCAATATGTAGGGCAACTTGATTATCACCCAAAGTTTTGCTGGTGTATGATATTGTTTAGCATTATCACTCCTTAGAATACACACTAAAGCATTGAACTGAGTTTTGACTTCAACCCAAAAAGCACAAAAGTGGGTAAACACTTCAGAACGACTCTTCATAAAATAAATCCAAGTCAGTCGAGAGAAAAAATCCACAAATATAACAAAATACTTGTATCCGATTTCGAAAACAACAGGACATGGTCCCTAAACATCTGTATGAACTAACTCAAAAATTGACTCCACCTGCATATTAGCCCTTGGATTTATTGAGCTACGATGTTGTTTGAACTTTTGTTCGAAATGGGAACAGGTTTACTAGTTATGGATATAGGCATATAGCACAAAACAATAAAAATAGATTTTTTATCTCCCAAGATTTATCACTAATTATATCACATAATTACAAGAAGTGGATGTAGAGGATACATCATAACCAGAGTGGTATAGAGATTTACTAGAACAATTCAAATTCTAAATTCTCTTTGGAACTATACTCTAAAAACATTTTGTTCTTCTCCTGATAAGCTAGTTTTGTAAATCCAATGTCACAGAGATCAGGTATTTCTGGTGGAATGGCACACCTTATCAGTGCCCAGTTCATACCATCGAAGAAGGGGTGTCGTTTAATCTCAGCAGCTCCTGTTTCTGTTCCTAATCGATTCTCAGGCTCCTTCACGAGAAGTCCTCTGATTAGATCCCTTGCCTGAAGACTAACAAGGGGGCTATCGGGAAATCTGAGGTTCTGCATGACCACATTGGCCAAAGTTTCTTCATTTCCAGCGCCTTTAAATGGTGTCTTCCCATATAGAAGCTCGTAAAGAAAAACACCTAAAGTCCACCAATCAACAGCACTCCCATGACCCTCACCTTTAATGATCTCGGGAGCCAAATATTCATGTGTACCAACAAATGAGTTGGATCGCGCTTCTGTTGGCTCTACCACAAGCTGAGGCAATGATCTGTGAAAGGCTGCAGCTTCTGCTTTCAGCTTTCTTGCTCGTGCTGTGGCAGGTAAAATTCTGGGGCTAAAGCAAGAAACTTGACATGACGGACCAGAACAAAATGGATCAATACAATTAGAGCCCGCGCATGGACCAGAAATCCTTGGAGCTTCAACCCCCAGTGAAGATGATTTTAAAAGAGTGGGATTAACTGAACATCTGAGTGAGAGGTCAAAATCTGTAAGCATGATGTGACCATCTTCCCGGACCAGTATGTTCTCGGGTTTCAGATCCCGATATACAACTCCAAGCATATGCAGATACTCCAGAGCAAGGAGGACTTCAGCCACATAAAACCTGCAATTACCGTGAGTTAGCATCATGACGAAGACAACTTTTACAACAATAGTCCAAAGTTCTCTTTTTCTTTTATTTTTTATAACTGTGGTTTCAGGGCCAGCTTTCATGCCCCTCGACTAATCCCATGGATGCCTACCACCTACCACCAGAGACCTCGTGATTCTCAACCCACGGCATTGACTACTGGGCCCATGTCAAATTAATATAGCCTCACCACAAAATTATTTTATGCAAAATTCAGATTTTATATTTTGGCACAGCAACACTAGATTAATCAATTAACTATGTTTCCAAAACAGATAAACTAATTATCCACATCTAAGACAATTTTCCGATCAATTGAACTCTCAATCTTCAGTTTTGACATTTTTGATCTTTTTTCTTGTTTTGGAGGAAATGCAGACTTCAATTTCTACCTTGTCCCTTTCCCCCTTTTTGGTATGGGGTGGTCAGGTGGGTTGAGTTGAGTTAGGAGGAACAGAGGAAGACATATATAACCAAAGAAATGAACCAGCAAATTAAAGAATTTGCCTTGTCAATAAGTCTCAAGACATTACAAGGCTTTAACCAATAAAGTTTTCTTATTTAAGGTAAATAATTATATTCCTGTTGGAGAAATCCCCATATAGAATTAGTATACCGAAAAGTAGAGAAACCTAGACCAAAAGATGATTATCGACAAAATGTCATCCATACATCTGTGCAACCAAGAAGCTGAGACATGAGGCTACTCCTCAAATGTAGAAACCTCTCAAAAGCTCTCTATTCCGAACCCTCCGTAATAATACTTAAATGAAAGCTAGTGGGGGTACATCCCATGCCCTGGATCTTCTTTCTTCTGAAGCTCAGTTATTCAGTACCTCTGTTGTACTCAGCAATCAGTATGACCCACTATATTCTAAAGCAATTCAAAACCTCCCACCATATCAAGCTACTTACCAACATATAATAGGCGGCGCATACTAGACCACTTAAGCTTATGGTGATGGATATACTAGATTTAATGTCTTAAATTAACCAACTTATTGACAAGTCTGCGTCAGCCACGACAAAGGTGGCATTCTTCTCTTCTTCATTCCTTTTTTTGGGGTGGGTGGGGGGATGGGTTGCTAAAATTTAATGGGTTTAAACATTACCTCAATCAAGTGGTGTTGAATAGATTAGTTCTTTGTAAATAAAATTAGAAAAAAACACCAATGCAAAGTCAAAATCCATTTATTCCAGTAGCAATTTCAGACTAATTTATACATTCTACCACCCCCGAGCACAAATCAAAAGAGAACAGAGATGCATTATGTTTATGCTGAAACGCAAATTTACCAACCAAAGCTTCATTGTTGTAGTTTTGAGTATAATTTATAAAATTGGAGCATATCATACCGTGCTGCTGGTTCAGGAAAGTTTCTGCAAGGCTGCTTCTGCCTGAGGACATGCAAATCACCACCTGGACAAAACTCCATAACTAAGCATGATAAGTTGTGCGATGTAAACTGTGCATAGAGCGTAGGTAGAAAAGGGTGATCTAGCATTCTCAAAATCTCTCTTTCAGTTTGGGCCCTTGGCAACTTTTTCCTTCTTGCCAAAAATTCATTGTCCATAACTTTTATTGCAAAGAAGCAATCAGTTTCCAGCAGCTCAGCAAGGTACACTGTGCCAATGTCTCCACAACCAAGCTTCTTTAATAAATTGAAATGACTTAACCCCAAGAATCCATGATGTTTCCTCACCTGATTGATAGCCTCCCACTTGCCGTCTTTAGACATGTGTGGCCTATTTCCAGTACTAGACCCACTTAGATTGCTCTCGTCGCTGATAGTTGTGCTACAACTGTAATCACCAATACTACTCTTTGAGCTCTGTGAAAAGTCCCCTGGCTCTCTAGATTTTGATGCCTTGTTGAATTTCAAGACAGGAGTAACCCTGTCATTGTGGCCGTTTTTGGCGAAGCCTGGTTTAGTAGCATGACAATTATTGCTAGTTTCACTTGCTTCAGCGGCTGTACATCCAGAACCTTGAATTGTAGGTCCCTTACCAGACTCATTTCCAACATTCTTGAGAGCACACTGACATTGCTGACAGATAAGCTGCTTAGGTGATTCCATTGGACTATTTACTTCATAGGTAAAATTAAAAGTGCCGGATGCTGCTGTTGCTTCCGGTTTTGCTTTTTTCTTGACAAGGGTCTTGTGCTTGACTGCTGGATTTGCAGTATGAGTGGTGCTTTTGTTTGATTTGCTCTCCTTGTTGCTTCTCTTGGTAGTAGATGAAGAGACATTTTGCAATATGGTTTTTCGTCTCAGCTTAGGAGCTTTTTTGTTGGCTATTCGAAATGATGCAACCACACTTCTATTGGAATTATGCTGCAAATTTATTGGTCCAGACCCCAAAACATCATTACCAGAGGTAAATGATGATGAGGATGCAACTGAAGTTTCGACTTCTTCCTCAGTTGACACAGTTTGTAGTGATTTAATCTCATGAAGATTCGACACAGATGCATTCTCCTTTTTCAGGTGAGGGGAATTAACACTCTGACTAATTGGTGCTTCAACCGATCTAGGAGAAGACAGGACACTCTGGTCTGGTAACTTCATCTTGGGTTCTTCGGAGTATCGAGGCATCTTTTGTGAAGTGCTTGATGTGCTTACTGCTGGCATTATCCTCTCTTTTCGCCGCACAGTTGACTCAGCAGACACAATGACTGGTTTATCAACAAGTCTGGGCGAACGTGAAGTGTTTTGGTTTGGTAACCTCACCTTTGCTTGTGTAAGCTGTTGAGAAACCTTTTTACCATAGTTCGGGACATATTCTTCCGAAAATACTCTCTCATTTTGCTTGGCAACATACTCCGCATTCTTAGTAGTCTGTTTACCAACACATTTAGGAGAACAAAGGGTACTTTGACCTGGTGACTGTAGCTTTGGATCTCCAATGTACTGAGGCGGCCTTTGAGAAGAGTTAGACGTGCTTTCTGCCGGGACTATTCTGTTATTTTGGCGCATTGAGATGGATGGCTTAATGACAAGTCGTGGAGAAGAATGGGGACTATGGTTTGCTGATTTAACATACAGTTCTTGGCGGTAATGGGGCACTTTGTCGAGTGTTCCTGAAGTGCTTTCATCTTGTACTACTCTTTCTGTGTGAATGAAACCGGATTCGCTTGGATCTGCAAACCTGTAAGAGCTTGTAATCCTTCCAGCTTCTGTAATGCTTGGAGAACCCGGTTGCTTGGATAACCGCTTCATTGCCGCCATTTCTGCCGCCTGTGAAATGCATAAACCCCGTAAGGCCTGCTTAAGAGAGACCGGCTCTGAAAACCCAATTCCTGGAGAATGAGATCCACCACCCCTCATCGGCCTTTTTGAGGCATCTCTTTTCACATGATCTGACAAATCCAGACTTTTTGATGATCTTAGATCGATGGATGCAAAAAGATGATTAATATCATTTTCTAAGAATTTATTAGGTCCTTTTCTAACCAACGGAGGCTTCTGTTTTCTGCCTGATTCTCGTACTTGTCCTGACCTTTCAGAACGTTGGAACATCACGAGCTCATCTTTTGCCTCAATAATTTCACAACTACCAGAATATGAACCCATCACTTAGAACTGGTCGGACAATATCACCAGACACTCAGCAATCCCAAGGTGAAACGATTAATTTTGGAGGTCTATATATAACCATCATTCAATCGACAACCACCTTTACAACAATACATGAGCTTCATAGGTCACATACAATCCAAATTTCTAGTTTCAACCCAATCATGTTGCTATCTACCATTCAACCTGTAATGACAATTAAATGCTATTATGAAATAATTAAAGTACCAGCTACTGTGTATTCCTTAAAACATCAAAATCATTGTCACATGAAATGCTTAGAATATATACACATAAGAGGTATAAAAAAAACATGAGGATAAGAAGATGGATGACTATCAAGCATTTCATTTAGAGAACAGAATTATAGGAACTCGGATACAATTACTCAGGAATAAGTCTAAAGAACCCAAGTTGCTAAGATCTCAGTAACTATTGGCAAAAATTTTGAGACCAAAGATTCCAATTAGATCCATTTACGGTCCTGTGAAATCTTTTTCACAATACCAGATCTCCTTTCACTGTCACATTCCCCTCAGAATCAGTTAAAGCAGGATCAGGAACGACAAGTATCTTTATGATAAACAGATCTAGAGAAATGTACTGTCGTTAAATAGTTGCAGAGTATTATATTTCTCAAAGAACTCTTAGGCAGTGTTAACACCCTATTGTTTAATCAAGTGTTAAAAGTGGTCCTTAGAAGTCTAACTCAGCTATAAATATACATTCAGTTGGCATAGATCCATTTCAATTGAAATACAGCAAAATGCTCAGAACAAGAACAAGATTACATCTTTCAAGAAAAAACAGTTCAATATAGGATTCAGTTTTCAACTTCCAGCATTTCTGCAAAGAGAAAATGGAAACAAAAACAACTTGAAACCCAAAAATGCAAACTACCCACCTAGCTGACCCCCATCCTGGAAGAAAAAGAAAGAAAATGTAAGGAAAATGAAGAGAACAACAAGAAAAAACAAATTAGCCAAATGAAAGTCCAAAAGAACTAAAGGCATAAACTTTTTGCAAGTATACATTACTTGCCCATAAGGAGAACACAAAAAGGGTCAAACTTGCCAGTATCAGTACAAATCCAAAAGCACAGAAAGTCACACAACAACAAAATAATGCAAGAAAAAAAGGTAGTAGCTTAGAAATCAATGCAAATTAGAAGGTTTACTCCAGAGACTAACTAAAATTAAGCAATAGGGTGTCCAAAACTACAAACAAATAGTTCAAAGCTCAACAAAACTAGCAAATCAAGAAAATATGTAGCATAGAAATCAATGCAAAGAAGGTTAAACTCAAAAAAGCCCACTTAGATTAAGCAAAAGGGTGTCAGAACTACTAACAAAAAGTTCAAAGCTCAACAAGACTAGCAAATCAAGAAATATGTACAGATTAGAAATCAATGCAAATTTAGAAGGTTAACTCAAGAGACCCACTAAGATTAAGCAAAAGTATGTCCAAAACTACAAAACAAAAAGCTCAAAGCTCAACAAAACTAGCAAATCAAGAAAATGTGTAGCTTAGATATCAATGCGAAGAAGGTTAAACCCAAAAGACCCACTAACATTAACCAAAAGGGTGTCCAAAACTACTAACAAAAAGTTCAAAGGCTCAACAAAACTAGCAAATAAAAAAAAACATGTATAGCTTGAAAATCAATGCAAGTCAGAGACTTCACTCAAGAATACCACTAATTAAGCAAAAGGGTGTCCAAAACTACTAACAAAAAGTTGAAAGCTCAACAAAACTTAACAAATCAAGAATATGAAAGATAAAAAAGAAGACATTACCTGCCAAAAAAGCAACTGATACAATGAAAGATCTAAAGTTCAAAACTTTCATAAATTACAGAAAAAAATGGTCTCAGAATTCAGATTCTCAAAGAATGAAAGGAGAAAGAAAAATGGTGTATATTATTTCGGTGGACAAAGATGTGAAGAGAGAAAGGGACACACAATTTTATTTTATTTTTATTATTATTATTATTATTATTATTTTATCTTTTTTTCTAATTTCATTTTCATACACTGAAAAATTTTCTTTCTCTCTGTGTTTTTATTTTTTCTAACATTATGTGGTCCTATTAAAAAAAAACTAAAAAAGAGTGGGGTCCACTCCCTGGAGGTAGATAGTGGGTCCCATGTATCTTAGGATTCGAAAATTTTTATTTTATTTTTTAGAAAAATATATATTTCATTTTTACAAATTTTATTCATATTTTATTATATTTCGTTTATTTTTGGAACTAATTACTTAATTGAATATAGAATAACTGATCAACGACACAAATTTTACACAAGTACTAGAGTGGTTAATGATTAAATTATAATTTAAATTTTGTGATATTTCATTATGTATATTATGTTTGTGCTTTTTTGCTTGTGTATATTCACAATTTATGTGTTATATTAAGTTTGTATAGTTATATCATACACTGAAATATTTAAATAATAATAAAATTATTTTAACTTGATATCGATCTAAAATTAAATCAAAAAGGCAAATTACTTATAAAAAAAATTATATAATTGATTAAAATATTAATGATAACGATGTTGACATAAAAAAGAAAAAAGATGAAAATTCAATTTTACGCATTCATAAGCATGGGAATTAAGAGTACATATTTTAAGTAATTAATAGCTAAATATATGTAATCAAATATCACAACGATTAAACTTTAACTTTATCAATAATCAAGAAATAAAAATATTATTAGCATGTAACGATCTGTTTAGTCGTTTTGAGTAGCAGATTTTATTTCTGGAAAACTGGCTGAGACGACGGACCGTCATCGGTACGACGGCCCGTTGAGGGTGTCTCGTTCCAAAACACTTGGGAATTCTGAAATTTGAGTGCTGAAATCGACTCTCTGAACTCTGTGACGGACCTGCAGGACGGACCGTCGTAGGTACGACGGGCCGTCACAGACTCCTTAAGGAAATTGAGTCTCTGACGAACCTGCATGACGGACCGTCGCAGGCGCGACGGGCCGTCACAGGTTGCGTAATCCCAGTCGGAGTCGGATTTCTGGTTAAGTTTTAAAGGGGCGTTTGGATTATTCCTGCTATAATTATATATTTCGTGGGTTTATATTAATAACTCAATTTCTTGGGGGATAAAAGAGGTAACCTTGAGTTAAATTGTGGGTTATTATTGTCATCTTTTACACTTAATTACATGTTAATTAGGGTAAAAGAAAGAGGGTTTGAATAAGAAAAATAGAAAGAACAAAAAGAAAAGAGAGGGGATCGAACGAGAGAAAAGGAAAACGAAGAGGATACAAAGATCTTGAGGAATTGCTTGCTTGATCACGAAATCTTCGGTGGAGGTAGGTTATGGTTTCTCTTACGATGTTCGTAGTAAACTCTTAATAGTGAATGATATGTATTGATAATATTGTAAACCCTGCTATGTGCTTACTTGTATGCTTGCATGAATGTAATTATATAATTGTGATTATATAAGCATGATGAAGTTATTGAATCCCAAATCTTGAAAAACCCTAATCTCTTTGTTAATGATGAGGCCTTGGTATAAAAGAAGGCGTGATGAACTAAAATAATGAGATTGATGATACCTTGGTAAGGAAGAAGGCTTGATGAATTGATAGAAGGAGTTTAGGGGATCGGGTGCCACATTCCGGTACCAGGATAGTATATGAGGATCGGAGTGTCACGTTCCGACACCAGGATAGAATATGGATCGGGTGCCACGTTCCGGTACCAGGATAGAATATAAGGATCGGAGTGTCACATTCCGACACCAGGATAGAATATAGATCGGGTGCCACGTTCCGGTACCAGGATAGAATATGAGGATCGGAGTGTCACGTTCCGACACAGGATAGAATATGGATCGGGTGCCACGTTCCGGTACCAGGATAGAATATGAGGATCGGAGTGTCACGTTCCGACACCAGGATAGAATATGGATCGGGTGCCACGTTCCGATACCAGGATAGAATGAGGATCGGAGTGTCACGTTCCGACACCAGGATAGTATATTGAGGAGCGGAGTGTCACGTACCGACACGAGAGGAATAAAGATAATGAATCTTGAAAGATGTTAATATACTCAATCTAATGAACCTAAATCCCAAATGAGTATGATGAGGAGGCGTGAGTCCTCATTGATGAGCTTGGTGTTGTAACCAAGGGTTATGGTAATTGTAAATGCTACATGTTGAGTATCATAGTTGATTTTATGATATTACTTGATATATATTGATTTCTATTTTGAGTTGGCCGATGATATCTACTCAGTACCCGTGTTTTGTACTGACCCCCTACTTTTATGTTTTCTTCTTTGTTATTTGTGGAGTGCAGCAAACGTGCCATCGTCTTCAACTCAATCGCAACTCTAGCCAGCCTTCATTACTCCGGATTTCAGGGTGAGCTAATGCTTCTAGCTTGGACTGGATCTTCTTCCTCATGTCTTGTTGCCTTGAAGTTTCGGCATGGACTAGCTTTTACTTGTTTTAGCTTTTAGAATACTCTTAGTTTAGTAATTTGATCATAGATGTTCTTGTGATGATGACTTCCAGATTTTGGGGAATAATAGATGTTGAATTTTAGAAGTTAATGAATTGGTTTTATTTAATGAGTTTGAGTCTTCCGCATTATTTACTGTTGATATTATATTGAAATGTTAAGGTTTAGATTGGTTGGTTCGCTCACACAGGAGGGTCAGTGTGGGTGCCAGTCGCGGCCCGATTTGGGTCGTGATATAGCATTTTGTTAAATGTACCAATTAAGCAATTAATTTTTATATTTTTTGTTTACCTAAATGATCAGTGTATAATAAATTATTCAATTAAAGTAAAATTAAAAATGTTTGTTAGATATCTTATTTGGTACTCACAACGTGCTTGATCTCTAACATTTTGCATTCAAAATAATAAATAAATATTTACTTTCTTAGGATGCTTTATTCCTTCAAATTTTTAATACATGTTTTTCATTTTTTATGTTTTTTTCTGATTCAATTTTATTATTAATAATAATAGAGAACCCCACACCCACGGTATCCCCCACTCCCCTCTCCACACCCCTTTTAATAATATTTTATATATGTTTTTACTTATATTTTAAAAAATCATTTTTATTAGAAAAAATTATTTTAATATTTTTTCCTTAATAAGATATTTATAGACATACATATATCTATATAACTTATTTTAGAACATGAATTTCAATAAAAATAAAAAAATTAATGTTCAATCAAATTCATTAATTGTCTAATAAACTTCAAACAAAAAAAAAATAGGGAAAAGGGTCTGATATACCTCTAAACTTTGTCATTTAGAGCTGATATACCCCTCGTTATAAAAGTGGCTCATATATGCCTTTACCGTTATACAAACGGCTCACATATACCCCTGCCGTTACAAAATGGCTCACATATACCCTTCATTTATCGGAAGTTAAAAAATTAGTTTTAAATTTATATTTATCACTTCTAATTTTTTTAAAAAAATTATTTAGGGATATATATGATTCTTCTATCAAAGTTTAAGGTATATTTTAATTTTTTTCATACATAAATTATTTTTTGACTTCTTTTATCATAATTATTTGAATTTCTTATTCTTATTTTGTTTTTGTCTTTCATTCCTTAGTTTTAAGGAAATTAAATTATTTTTTGTGTGTGTATTGTAATTTAATTTCGTATACGAAGAAAAAATTTGGTCATCTACAATAAGTTTTACAAAAATATTAGTGAAACATAAATAAATTTGATTATCAAAAGGAAAAGGGTATATGTGAGCCATTTGTTTACAAGTAAGGGTATATATGAGTCACTTCCATAACAAGGGATATATCAACTCTAAATGACAAAGTTGAAGGGTATATCAGACCCTTTTCCCAAAAAAATATGTATTAGAATTGAATATATAAGCAATTAAAGAATAAAGAATAATAAATGTAATATCTTATTATTGTCACGTAAATTGAAATAAAGAGTAATATTTTTCTTAACCAAACATGACCTTTGATTGTTAGACACGACTTTAGTAACATTCTTTTTTCACAAGCAACAATTATTTAATCTTTTGTTCAAAGAATTATTCGTTCACTTTTTTGATGGGAAATTGGATACTTCTTTATGTAACTGCAAATATTATAAATAAATATATTTTTCAATAAATAGTACTTTACTCTAGAGGCCTAACAACAACAGCCAATTAATGGTCTTTTTCAAACACTATTAATAGATTGGAGAAAGATTTTTTTAAATTTTTTAAAAACAGCTCAATTATATATATAAGTAGGTGAAGTTATTAAGAAGCTCAATTATGAATCATTATGAGATTTTAATTACATTTAAATTTTGGTGGTCTTACTTGTATACTTATAGATGTTAGTATAATTTCCATCTTATTGATATCTCATTCAAAAAATATTATCGTTATATGAATTATGTGATTGCTATCATTCTTTCGTGGAAGTTAAAAAAATTTAAAATATAACCCTTTATTAAATTTACAGTTTATTATAGGTATATATTTGGTGAATTTCTTATGTATTAAATCTTAATTAGCTAAAATTGATTCATCGAAACTTGTATAGTAAATTACGTATTTGCCCTTAAACAAAGTATATATAGTAGAACATTTAGTACAATATTTAACATAGATAATTGTTAGATGGAAAAATGTTAATACCATATTAGCACTACCAAGTACTAATCTAAGTTGAGATAAATACTTGTTTAATTTTTTATGGCATGAATGATATTAGTGGTTGAAAGCTTATGTGACAAACTAATTAGTAATACCATATACATTAGTGGGGATTGTGATGGATCAGATGAATTTCTTCGTCTTTAATAGAGATATTGAGTTAAATTTTTGGATATGAAAAAAAAAATTGACAAAAATTATTAGTCTTTTATTATATAAGATATAAATCTAAATTAATCATGTTTCAGTGAAGG